CTGTGAGCTTTTTCCTATTTTCTGAATCATAAAACTACACTAACTCAGACTCCATGTGCTAATAAGTTTCCTAAAATATAACAAAAATATGACCACATATAAGCAGAAATGTGAAACATAAAGTTATGATCTCCAATGAATTCATTTGTGTGATTCCAGGGCTACTTTTTTTTTTTGAAGATTTATTTATTTGAAAATGAAAGTTACACACAGAAGGAGAGGCAGAGAGAGAGGTCTTTCATCTGCTAGTTCACCCCAGATGGCCACAGTGGCCGGAACTGTCCCAATCAGGAACCAGGAGCCAGGAGCTTCTTCTGGATTTCCCATGTGGGTGCAGGGGCCCAAGGACATGGGCCATCTTCTACTGCATTCCCAGCCCATAGCAGAGAGTCAGGAGTTTAAGAAGTTGGTCTTTTGATTACAACTATAGAAGATCTTATAGTCCTAGAAACAGTAGACCAACTGGAAGACCTCGCCCTACCAGAAGCCATTCCGACAATGATTGATCAAACTGCAGCTGGAATACCCAGTACAGTTCTGCTTACTACACTTCAAAAAAGATCTGAAAGCAAAAAAAGAACCATACAAGTGCAGTTCAAGCGATCAAAGGGTGGGTGGAAGGTGCTGCAGTATGAATACTGTACGGATATTTTGACTCTGGTCTGAAAAGACAAAAGAATTATCAAAATCTACATGGAATAATTGAAGTCCCTTCAAGTTTGAAAGTAAGCATTTTAAGACAAATAAAAGGAAGTTCAACTTTGTACTTGTGGCAACTAATCCCTAAATATGAATAGGTTTATATTGATTCATGGGTAACAGGTCCCTAATAAATTATTTAAAACTAGGATGTCTGGATATCAAGGAAGACAGCCATAGTCTCTTACAGTGCCTCTATTGGTCTGTCTCAAACTGAATTGGGTGGGAAGAGGTATCGTCCAATATACATTTTTTCTGGATTCTCCTTAAAATTCCTTTTTAGCCATTATTGGCAAACTTTGCCTTTGTTTATTCTGGTGCCAGTATTTTCTGCTTAATCATTTGCTTTGTTGGCATCTGAGTATATTTGCTTAAAAACCACATATAGTTGACTTCTTTAACCACTTTTTCCAATGTAGATTCCATTTATACTTGACATCCAGTTTGAGGGGGCCCATCTCTTCTCACTTCTTTCCTAATCAGTATGTTCAGTGAATATTTATTGAGCACTTAAGACTGGGCAAAACATTGTACAAAGTAATTGGATAGAAAAATAGATAATTCCCATATTCAATAAATGTCTACTGAGCACATTCTAGTGTATCATTACAGATGGCCTCACTGTTTTGTTTGAGGTGTATTATTTGTGGCTATATTACACCATTCACATTTTAATGTAATTATAAAACCTGATATACTATCAAAGATAGGAAATTTTGTGGTTTATCTACCTTTCAAAAAGTGTCTGTGGCCGGCGCCATGGCTTACTTGGCTAATCCTCTGCCTGCGTGCCGGCATCCAATATGGGCACCGGGTTCTAGTCCTGGCTGCTCCTCTTCCAGTCCACCTCTCTGCTGTGGCTCAGGAAGGCAGTGGAGGATTTCCCAGGTGATTGGGTGCCTGCACCCACATGGGAGAACAGGAGGAAGCACCTGGCTCCTGGCTTCAGATCAGTGCAGCACCGGCCATAGCGGCCATTTGCGGGGTGAACCAATGAAAGGAAGACCTTTCTCTCTGTCTCCCTCTCACACTAACTCTACCTGTCAAATAAGTAAAAAGAAAAAAACTATCCAGTATTTCTTTGCACCCCATTCATAATGAAAAAGTGGTGTTTCAATCTGTAGTGCACTGATTTATTGTGCCATTGCTGTAATATACTAGAGTTATATTAAATTGTTAACTCTGCCTCATTAAATACGTTAGGAAATAATCCCACAAATAAGTATTTAACTTTGCATCAGATATAAAAGAGATTCTGGGTGATATAATTAGATTATTTTGAGGCAGACTTGAGCGCTGTTATCCCAACTGATTTAGTATGTTATGTAATGAGAATAAATTCACCAAATTATAATTTTTATTGATTTACATGTACATTTTACAGGGGCATGTTCTGTGTATAGTGAAAAAATAACTTTTATAGTCTCACAAAATGCTTTTGATTCCTTAGTTCCTTATTAGGATATGAATTTTTTTATTTTTTTTGACAGGCAGAGTGGACAGTGAGAGAGAGAGACAGAGGGAAAGGTCTTCCTTTTGCCGTTGGTTCACCCTCCAATGGCTGCCGCGGCCTGCGCGCTGTGGCCAGCGCACCGCACTGATCCGATGGCAGGAGCCTGGAGCTTTTCCTGGTCTCCCATGGGGTGCAGGGCCCAAGCACTTGGGCCATCCTCCACTGCACTCCTGGGCCACAGCAGAGAGCTGGCCTGGAAGAGGGGCAACCGGGACAGAATGCAGCGCCCCGACCAGGACTAGAACCCGGTGTGCCGGCACCGCAAGGTGGAGGATTAGCCTAGTGAGCCGCGGCGCCGGCCCAGGATATGAATTTTTTGTTTAGTTATACATTGGTTCCATCACGAGTTTTGTCATATTTTGCCATGTTTTTATAACTTGCATGTAAAGTTATGAATCTTAAAATTTGGAGATGGAATTTAACTTACAAGAGTTTTGAAAATACAGGAGAATACACATTAACTTTAAGGGAGGTGTAAAATGGAGGTATTTTTAATCCCTATTTTATTGTTTTTAAAGATTTATTTATTTTACTTGAAAGTCAGAGTTACACAGAGAGAGGAGAGGCAGAGAGAGAGAGAGAGAAAGATCTTCCATCCACTGATTCACTCCCCAATTGGCCTCAATGGTTGGAGCTGCGCAGATCCAAAGCCAGAAGCCAGGAGCTTCTACGGGGTTTCCCACATGGGTGCAGAGGCCCAAGGACTTTAGCCATCTTCTACTGCTTTCCCAGGCCATAGCAGAGAGCAGGATCAAAAGTGGAGCAGCTGGGACTTGAACCACTGCCCATATCGGATGCTGGGACTGCAGGTGGCGGCCTTACTCGCTATGCCACAGCTCTCACCCCAATCCCTATTTTATTAAAAAAAAAAAAAAAAAACTTGTTAAACTTGCCGAGGATCAAAGAGCCAGTAGATCTGAGGTTAGAAGCCATTTTTCTCTTAGTTCACCTCTGTTGCTTGTTTTCATTTTTTGTTTTGAGTCAAATGGAAAAATGTTTTTATGACTTAGTTTTTGTGGAGAAAATAAAGTTGGTATAATGGAATCTAAAATTTCCAGCAAAAATGGCTAGATTTAATTAGAAAATGTATCTTGTTTTATGCCTTTACATAATAGCATTCTAGTGGTAGTTATTATGGGTAGAGATTCCTTGTATTTTCCAAAGTTAATATCTTAGGCTGGCCCCGCAGCTCACTAGGCCAATCCTCTGCCTTGAGGCGCCGGCACACCAGGTTCTAGTCCCGGTTGGGGCTCTGGATTCTGTCCTGGTTGCCCCTCTTCCAGGCCAGCTCTCTGCTGTGGCCCAGGAGTGCAGTGGAGGATGGCCCAAGTGCTTGGGCCCTGCACCCCATGGGAGACCAGGAAAAGCTCCTGGCTCCTGCCATTGGATCAGCATGGTGCTCTGGCTGCGGCAGCCATTGGCGGGTGAACCAACAGCAAAAGGAAGACCTTTCTCTCTGTCTCTCTCTCTCACTGGCCACTCTGCCTGTCAAAAAATAAAAAAATAAAAATTAAAAATAATAAAAAAAGTTAATATCTATATAGTTCACAGGTATTTTGCCCTCTTCCTCCCTTCTCCATTTCCTTTTGAATTGAGGTTAAAACTTTCAAGGGGCACAAAAATTAAGTTGCATATTCAGTTGAGAAGTGGTTCAAAAAATATTGGTGAGTACAAATATTGAAGGTTTTTGTTAATCTTTTCCTGGAAAACGTGTCATAAATACAATAACACTTGGTAACTCTAAAAAATAATTTTAAATGTAGTAACTCAGAAAAGGCCCATGTGGTTTTTGCTGCTATTGAATTTGCTTTAGGATATCTCCTGTTGTGGTTATGATTTGTGGACTGCTATTAATATTATTGAGCACTTAACATCAAGCCATATGCTTTTCAGACACTCCTGTTTAATCCCCAACACACTCCTGGGAAATGGGTACTATCCCCATTTTATAGATGGAAATTATCACTTATGGAATGCCTATCATGTGGATAGGCTTTTTTGCATAGCTTCATTTCTCACCTTCAATAATTTTTCTGGATGAGGAAAAGATTGAGTGTCATGGGTCAGAGACTCACTCCAGCCTGACTTCACACATTCTGTAAGGTTTTCATTGTATTTTGACCATGTTCCTGTTTACAAAGTGCCAATCACATTTTTAATTGGGGAGGCTGTATTTTGAGCAGTAGTCTAATGGCATTCTATCAGGACCACCACTGCTTCTAGGATCCCTAGGAGAGCTGTGAAATAAGCAATCTGCTTGCCTTCAACCATGGGCATCTACAGGATGCTGTTAGTCATTATGGGAAAGGTTCATTCTCTTGGGTTTTTCTCCCCTGCCCTTTACTACTTCCTCTAACAGTGTTGTTTATCTTTATTATGTTTCTCTGTATTTGTGACAGCTGTCTTACCCTTGTGCTTAAGATGGGCTTTTTCTCTAGAGAGTGAAATATTAAATGTTCTTGGGGCCCCCCCCCAAAAAAAAAAGAGAGAGAGAGAGAGAGATTCAATATTGTCCTCCTTTCAGCCTGGGTGCAATTCCCCTTGAAATACATGGCCCTTTGTGACCTGAAACCCATGTTTTCTTCCAGTTGGGGCATTTTTCACAGCCTGTAGGCCATAGGTTTGACTCCCTGCTGAGTGCTTCTGTGTGGCTGTCCAAATGCTCAACAAGTCTAAAATGAAAGCACATCCTTCCCTCTTCCTTCATACCCATCTGTAAGGTAAAAACCACCAGTATTTGCTTTGTGACAGTTGATCTGTTGACCACTAGTGTTCTATTACAGGTGATGATAGCATTTGAGGACCTGGCTGTTTACTTTACCTGGGAGGAATGGCAGAACATGAACAAAGCTCAGAAAATCCTGTACAGGGATGTGATGCTGGAGACCTACAGCAGCCTGCTCTTCTTGGGTGAGTGGCACCCATCACATGTCTAATGAACACATTGTCTTGCTATTTGAAAAATAAGTGAAGACTTTATAAAGTTTAATGATGTGCAGTTAGAGAATTTGTGTCCATGAATAATCCTACTGTGTATCATCTAGGAAAGGATCCAAATTGGAACATTTGTTGCATAGCTCCTGAAATAAGCTGTTTTCCTTTAAATAACCCAAGATAGTGATTTCACAAAGTCCACATTGTTTGCATTAATAGGACACTGCATTACCAAACCCGATTTGATCTTTAAGTTGGAGCAAGGAGCAGAGCCATGGATGGCGAGCGAATTCCTAAATCAGAACCTTCCAGGTCAGTACGTACTTAATGGTGAGGGAGGCCAAGGCAGAAAGATTGCAACAGATGTTCACTGATGCTCTTTCCATGACTTTTTCCCAAGTGTTACTCCTGATGATATCTGGCTTTGTGCATCAGACAAGGGATTCTAGAGTATCTAGGGATGCCATTTGATCTCTAAATCTCTGTGTTCTTGATAAAGACATCCTTTGATTAAAAAAAAAGTTGCAATCCTTTTCTGATGTTACTAAGGCTTTTTCTAGGTTAGATACATTCCCCAAATTCTCTATATTTAATACCTTTTCCTTCATGCATTTATTCTTTTCTTCATTTCTTGTTAGTTGGGCAAGTTAGAAAAACTTCTTTCAGATGAGTTTCCACTCATGGTTTTGGCCTGGCACAGAACTTGTTATTTTATGGATCTCATGACTGAACCAATAAATCTGATCTCTGTCTCTCTCTTTTCTCTTTCTCTGTGCCTTTCCAAATAAAATAAGAAAAAAGTAGGTTGTTAAAAACATTTGAGGAGAGAGCCTGTGGTTGGCAACCTTCTGTTTCATTCTCTCTGTGTGTCTCATTCTCCATCTCTCTGACTCTCAAGGATGTAAATAAATAAGGGAATGCTAAGAGATGGTCAGAAATAAGCCTCTGTGCTGTGACATCAGAAGTCCTGAAGTAAGCAGGAACTTTTATAGAAACATGAAAATAAGTGATCCTAAACCCACCAAGAAAGTCTTGAGATTCTGAATCCCAAGGTCAAGTAACCTCATGGTTTTATGTTGATTGTCTCAAATATGTAGTTTGAAGTATGAATTCTGTCTCAAAGAAAAAAGATAAGAAAGGAATAGGAAATTAAGATTTCTTTGAATATAAGAGACAGCTGATCAAAAGCCTCCAGAAACTCAAATTATCACATATGAGTGTTAATAGAAAAACCTGAGGGGAGATAACCAAGACTAGTGATTTCAGAATGAGCTAGAAAATATTTTTCAAAGAAGGCAAACACACTCTGGGTTGCAAAAATAAATTGTTTCAGCTGTTAGAGAGGGTATACCCGAGGTGGTATATTGCAATGTTTCTGTACCTGTTGTAGTTCTGAGAAGCTGAAGATGTTAGATTTCCTTAGGAATATGGGGAAGCTATCATAGAGTGCAGATAAAAGCAGAGTTTCTCATTTGAAAAATCCCACAAATGTTTCCCTGGGAAGAGTGAACATGAGACAACTATAGATTCAAGTCTTGTTCCTTACATGTGATACTGTTTAGAGTACAGACACATTTCACTCTTCTGCACCTGCAAGAAAATGATCCAGTAAAACATTCCCATATTTATGATTGAAATATCAGAGAGCACACAACATAAACTTTTTAAGAAAAATTAACTAAAGAAGAAGGAAAGGGAATAAACTGTTTACTGGGCAATGGGGGAATATATTTACTAAATATTTATCCATTCTTTAAAATCTTATAATTGTCTCATCATTGTTACAGGTAGAATGACAATGAGAAGAGAAATATCATTTATTAGCTCACTTCTCCAATGTCTGCAACTGTTAGGTCTGACTAGTCTGAAGCCAAAAGGCTGGAACTTCATCTAGTCTAACCTGATTTATCACAGGTCCCAAGCACATGATTCATTATTTGCTGCCTTCTCATTTATATATGCAAGAGCTTTAATGGAATCAGAGTAGCCAGGGCTCAAACTGGCACTATTTTGAGATACAGGCACCCTAAGCAGTGAATTAACAAATCTAACCAGGAAAGCCATTTGCCATACTTGAATAAAATTCAAGTAGTAAATGATTGAACAGAGAAATCTATTGGTACAACCTAATATATCAATGTCTTAAGGGAAAAAAACAAACATATAATGAGCATAAATGTCTTGTACTGATTATGTTACAATCTTCATTTCCCTTACATCAGTATTCCAGAAGAAAGTAATTATATGTGATTCAGTGATTTTTTTTTTGTCTCATTTCAGTTGCCATGAAGAGTGATGACATTATTAGGACCAACCAGGAAATTCGAGAAAAAAATGTTAAGCAGAATGTTATTACAAATAATAAGACATCAACTCCCAGAAGAGTTGAATTAAATAAAAGACTTAATTTAAATTCAAGTCATGTTTCAAAACTGGTTAACAAAAAAAGAAATTATTCATCAATGAAACCTGAGAAATGCAATGTGTGTCACAATGTGTATCCCAATGGTGGGGCTGATGAGCTGCAAGCTAGAGAGAAAGTTGATGCTGCTAAGATACCTGGGAACTCTGCCCAGTGCTATGAGCCTCTTAGTGAGTATCACAAGATTCAGACTGTGAAGCCTTCATTGGAACATAGTGGACAAGGGAAAGACTTCAAAAGGAAGAAGATATTCTTTAGATTTGGCATGGTCCATATGGGAGACTCCTGTAATAAGTCAACTGTCACTGTTGGAAAGACAACTCAAATAGAAAAAACTCTTCATAAAAATGCTAACCTCAGTAAGCATCAACAAATCAACACAGGAGAGAAAGTCTATGAAGATATGGGATATGTGGAACCTCTTCTTTACAAATCAGATCTTTTAATAAATCAGAGACAACATATACAGAAAAAACCCTATGCATGTAAGTCTCGTGGAAAATCCTTCAGGTGTAAGTCCTCCCATACCATCATTCACAGTACTTCCTTACAGGAAAACTTGCAAGAGTGTAATGAATGTGGAAAAGCCATATACCCGAAGGTAGATGATATTAGACATCAGGAAATTCATACAGAGGACAAACCTAATGAATGTAAAGACTGTGGGAAAGCCTTTGGCAAGAAGTCACATCTTGTAATACATCAGAGAATTCACACAGGAGAGAAACCTTATGAGTGCAATGGCTGTGGAAAAGCCTTCGGCTATAAGTCACAACTCAAAACCCATCAGAGAATTCACACGGGGGAGAAACTTCATGAATGTCCTGACTGCGGAAAAGACTTCATCTGTAAGTCACAACTCATAATCCATCAGAGAATTCACACAGGGGAGAAACCTTATGAATGTAATGACTGTGGAAAAGCCTTCAGGAATAAGTCACAACTCAAAGTCCATCAGAGAATTCACACAGGGGAGAAACCTTATGAATGTAATGACTGTGGAAAAGCATTCAGCAGTAAGTCACAACTCAAAATCCATCATAGAGTTCACACAGGGGAGAAACCTTTTGAGTGCAATGGCTGTGGAAAAGCCTTCAGCTATAAGTCACAACTCAAAATCCATCAGAGAATTCACACAGGGGAGAAACTTCATGAATGTCCCGACTGTGGAAAAGACTTCATCTGTAAGTCACAACTCATAATCCATCAGAGAATTCACACAGGGGAGAAACCTTATGAATGTAATGAGTGTGGAAAAGCCTATGGCAAGAAGTCACATCTCATAACCCATCAGAGAATTCACACAGGGGAGAAACCTTATGAATGCAATGACTGTGGAAAAGCCTTCAGGAGTAAGTCACAACTCAAAGTCCATCAGAGAATTCACTCTGCAGAGAAACCTTATGCATGTAATGACTGTGGAAAAGCCTTCAGGAGTAAGTCACAACTCAAAATCCATCAGAGAATTCACACAGGGGAGAAAGCTTATGAGTGCAATGGCTGTGGAAAAGCCTTCAGCTATAAGTCACAACTCACAATGCATCAGAGAATTCACACAGGAGAGAAACTTTATGAATGTCCTGACTGTGGAAAAGACTTCATCTGTAAGTCCCAACTCATAATCCATCAGAGAATTCACACAGGGGAGAAACCTTATGAATGTAATGACTGTGGAAAAGCCTTCAGCGTTAAGTCACAACTCAAAGTCCATCAGAGAATTCACACAGGGGAGAAACCTTATGAATGTAATGACTGTGGAAAAGCCTTAAGCTCTAACTCACAACTCAAAGTCCATCAGAGAATTCACACAGGGGAGAAACCTTATGAATGTAATGACTGTGGAAAAGCCTTCAGGAGTAAGTCACAACTCAAAACCCATCATAGAGTTCACACAGGGGAGAAAGCTTATGAGTGCAATGGCTGTGGAAAAGCCTTCAGGAGTAAGTCACAACTCAAAACCCATCAGAGAATTCACACAGGGGAGAAGCTTTATGAATGTAATGAGTGTGGAAAAGCCTATGGCAAGAAGTCACATCTCATAACCCATCAGAGAATTCACACAGGGGAGAAACCTTATGAATGTAATGACTGTGGAAAAGCATTTGTCCAAATGTCAGACCTGAAGAAACATCAGAGAATTCACACAGGGGAGAAACCTTATGAATGTAATGACTGTGGAAAAGCCTTCAGCTATAAGTTACAACTCAAAATCCATCAGAGAATTCACACAGGAGAGAAACCTTATGAGTGTAATGATTGTGGGAAAACCTTTGGCCAGAAGTCACAACTCATAATGCATCAGAGAATTCACACAGGAGAGTAACCTCATTAATGTTATGACACAGAAAAGCTTTTTGCTGTACATCACAACTCATAACACATGAAAGCTTCTTTAGTCAGGCTGGGTGAGTGTTGACAAATTCAGTTTCTTTTGTTTGATAGTTCTTTACTTCACATTCAACATAAATGAGTACTTTGCAGGGTATAGTATTCTCAGTGGACTGATTTTTTTTTCTCTTAAGATTCACACTATGTCTTTCCATTCTCTCATAGATCATAAAGATTCTAATGAGAAGTCGCCTGTGAATCTAGTTGGAAATCCTTTGAAATTTAACTGACATTTCTGTATTGCACATTTTGGAATTTTTTGTTTTACTGTTAAAAGTTTGCAATATCTTTTGGCAGCCTAGACAGTCCTTCTCATGAACCTGAGCTGGTGAATCAAGGGAACATAAGATTACATTTCCTGGTGCCGTGGCTCACTAGGCTAATCCTCCACCTTGCAGTGCCAGCACACCGGGTTCTAGTCCTGGTCAGGGCACCAGATTCTGTCCCGGTTGCCCTTCTTCCAGGCCAGCTCTCTGCTGTGGCCTGGGAGTGCAGTGGAGGATGGCCCAATTCCTTGGGCCCTGCACCCCATGGGAGACCAGGAGAAGCACCTGGCTCCTGCCTTCGGATCAGCGTGGTGTGCTAGCCACAGCACACTGGCCACGCCGGCCATTGGAGGGTGAACCAACGGCAAAGGAAGACCTTCCTCTCTGTCTCTCTCTCTCTCTCTGTCCACTCTGCCTGTCAAAAAAAAAAAAAAAAGCAGATCCTTAAATAAATCTCCATATATTTCTTTTTTTTTTTTTTGACAGGCAGAGTGGATAGTGAGAGAGAGACAGAGAGAAAGGTCTTCCTTTTGCCATTGGTTCACCCTCCAATGGCTGCCATGGCTGGCATGCTGCAGCCGGCGCACCATGCTGATCCGAAGCCAGGAGCCAGGTGCTTCTCCTGGTCTCCCATGGGGTGCAGGGCCCAAGTACTTGGGCCATCCTCCACTGCCTTCCTGGGCCACAGCAGAGAGCTGGCCTGGAAGAGGGGCAACCGGGAAAAAATACACCGCACTGACTGGGACTAGAACCCAGTATGCCGGCATCGCTAGGTGGAGGATTAGCCTATTGAGCCACGGCGCCGGCCATATATTTCCATATGTGCAAGTTATACTGCCAACTGTCCAAGATATATTCTCAAGAGAATATTTGCATTTCTTTTTTTCTTTAACCAACTCAATATAGACTCACTTTAGCATTTCAGAAATTTACCAATAACTAATTTCTAGTCAGATTTAAAGAGTACTACCCTGTGGACTTGAATTTTTTTTAATATTTATTTTATTTCAAAGTCAGAGTTACACAGAGAGAGAAGAGTCAGAGAGTGAATGAAGTCTTCCATTTGCTGGTTCACTCCCTAGGTGGCCACAAGAGCCAGAGCTGTGCCAATCCGAAGCCAGGCATTAGCAGTTTCTTCCTGGTCTCCGAAGTGGGTGCAGGGGTCTGAGGTCTTGGGCCATCTTGTACTGCTTTCCTAAGTTACTATTTAATAAAACTTTCTCACTTCAGTCTTTTGTGCAAAACACAAAGCCACACACGAAGAGCAACTTGTTTCCTACCTTGTTTGCTACCTTGTTTTTTCCCTGTTGGAGCTCTCTCTCCCTAAGTCATCAACTGTTCTCTGTGAGACAGGTACCTGGAATGTCAGGCTCTTATCACTCACAGATTCACTATCTTTCATAATCTGCACAGGATTCTGAGAGGGGGGTATCTTTCCCATGTCTGAGTGCTTAAGAGCAGCATGGCATGCCAACTCTAGCCAAAGGAAAGACACGCACAGCACTGCTGCCATAACAAAGCAAATTCCTAGCACCTCCACTGTTGATAGCATTTTGCAGGAGTTTTCCCTATGTTAGACAAACAGATAGTGGTGTATCAGATCATACGTATGTCCTGTGCTTAGTGGGGGACTTCCTTGATTCGTTAGGTCAAGGCCGTATGCCCACACAGTGTCTCTGGAGCATATCCTCTCCCAAGTGAGGGAAGATGACTTTCTCTAAAGGGAGGAGAGAACGTCCACTTTGACTATGACATTGTCTAAATAAGATCAGAGACGGCGAACGCAAAAGGCCTCCATAGCCTTGGCAACTCATGACAAGAGCCTAGGGTGATTACTGATGCCATAAACTAGAGTGTCAATTGTGAAATCAACAACAGGAGTCACTGTGCACTTACTCCCCATGTAGGATCTCTGTCCTTCATGTGTTGTACAATGAGAATTAATGCTACAACTAGTACTCAAAGAGTACTTTACACTTTGTGTTTCTGTGTGGGTGCAAACTGTTGAAATCTTTACTTAATATATACTAAATTGATCTTCTGTATATAAAGATAATTGAAAATGAATCTTGATGTGAATGGAATGGGTGAGGGAGTGGGAGATGGGAGGGTTGTGGGTTGGAGGGGACTTATGTGGGGGGAAAAGCCACAGTTGTAATTCATAAGTTGTACTTGGGAAAGTTATATTTGTTAAATAAAAGTTTTTAAAAAAGAGCATAATATGAAAAGCCAATTAGGTTCAACTTGGTGAAATCACCTCCTGAATTATCACTATGGCCTGCCACTGGATTGCTACAGTGTCCTCAATGTGAATCTCTCACTTCTTGTGACTCTAATTCATTCTTTACTCTGATCCTGTTTACCTTAAGTCAAAGGTCAATCCTCTGTTTTAATTTCTGTGGTGCTCTTAGGAAGCATTTGAAAAGAAAACACTAAATACTCAATTTGGCATAGACAGCCTGCAGTTCTTGTTATTTCTAACCACAATGGAATGAGCAGTCTTCACTAAGCCTAAATAAATATCACCATTTCAGGCTTGTCATTACATACCCCCAAAGACTCCCACCATGGCCAATGACTCACTGCCACACCAGTATTTGGTATTTACCCCCATTGCACTGATTTTGGCTCATTTATTTTTTTGTTAATGAATCAATTCATCTAAAATTACTTGTCAAATCCCCTACAATTCCCTCCAAATTCTGCATTCTTTTCATAAAGACAAGAAACCCATGTCTGTTTTGTTCCTAAGAACTCAACATCTGAGATAGGATCCAGCCTATATTAAGCAACAATAGCTCATCTCATCATGTTAAATATTTACCAAACAATCACAGAAAAGACATCTTCATTCAAATCTGTTTTATTTTTTTCATTTTTTAAAGATTTTATTTATTTATTTTGAAAGGTAGAGTTGCAGAGAGAGAGAGAGGGAGAGATATAAAGGGCTTCCAATTGCTGATTCACTCATGAAACAGCTGCAATGATTGGGGTTAGGCTAATCTGAAGATAAGAGCAAGGAGCTTCTTCCCAGTCTCCCATGTAGGTACAGGGGACCAAGCATTTGGGACATCTCTTTCCCAGGCACATCATCAGGTAGCTGGCTGTGACTTGGGCCAGAGGCAATATTGGATGCCAGTGCTTCAGCTTTTAACATGTTCATGTACATTTTTCCTTGCAAGCTCTGGGAAGGCTGATAATGCCATTTTCTTATTAGCTAGACTTCCCTGATTCCCACTTTAAGATGCCTAGGAAATATGGGATGAGTACATTGTGTGTATGCACATGTGTGTGTGTATTATTTCTCTCACCATTTACAAAATTCAGTGAAATACACACATACTGTCTTGAATTTACTCTTGGGGAAATGGGTTTTATTTGAGAAAAGAGAAACTCAAAAATAACTTTTTTTGATGGGAAAAATAGAGAAGGTAGCAGGCCTTCTGTATTTAATCTTCAGAAATTATGAAAAAGGCTTTTTTACTGATTGGAAAGGGAGAGTGATGTAAAGAGGAGGGGAAGAAGGGCCATCTATAGCCTGGTTCACTCCTCAAATACCCACAACATCTATGGTTTGCTCAGATTGAAGTCAAGTGTCAGAAATTCCATATAGTATTCTGATGGGGGTGTCAGGAAACCGAGTACTTGGATCATCACTGGTAACCTTCTAGGTTAATTACTAAGAAGTTGGATTACAAGCACTGGGTAGCTAGAACTAGAACCAGGCCCTTTGGTATGGGATGGAGGTATCTCAAATGACAACTTCAACTACTGTGCCATAATATTCACCCCAGAGATGTTCTTTTTATAGTTTTAGTTAATTATATTTTATTCTCCCCAAGTACCAATTATTGTAAATGATCATAATCTGTATCTTCTATTTTTTCCATTTCTGTAAGAATGATCTTTATTAAGTTTTATACATTCATTTGAAAAGAAGACAGAGGGTGAGGGGAGAGCAACCATCCACTGGCTTGCTACCTGAATGCTGAGAATGGCCAGGGTTGGGTCAAGCTGAAGCTGGGAGCTGGAAATACAACTCTGACCTTTCCCCGGGTGTCAGAGACCCACCTGCTTGAGCCAACACCGCTCTTTCAGAAAGTGTGCATTAGCACAAACAGAGATAAGGACACAGAACTGGGACTAAAACCCAGGATTTCTGACATGGGCTGCCCTAAGTGGTGTACTAACCACAGTACCAAACCTTGGCCTCCAACTTAGATCTTAAATCTAAATCCATAATAAATTTCTTGCCCACAACTCCCCCAGTATCAGTTTTGCGATTAATGCTATGCTGCTACTGAGTGGGCTGCAAGAACTTGCCCTCCTCGCAGGTACTTGTAAGCATAACATAATTGTAAAGTTCTTCTTAGTTTTTCTCACATATCACTGGGATATCTGTGTGTCCCAGCCAATCATAAACGTCAGCCGAGGTAACAAGGTTAAAATAGGCTAATATAGGGTGATAAGAAGTAGCCTCAGCATCAATGACTTTTTTTTTTGAGATTTAAAAGTATTAGAGTCAAAGGCCTCCAGTCAGAGCGGCATGGAGCGGGGCTTCCAAGAGAGGAATAAACTCAAAGGGACTGGTAACAATGGACATTTAAGTACAACTTCAAAGGAAAAAAACTTGACAATCAGATTGGCATTCAGTTACCAGGTGGAGACTGAAAGTATC